CTTCCTAGGACAGCAATGTACTCTTTGTGTTACCAGGAACTTCCACAGACATGGGCAGCTGTGGCATTGAGCTCAAACCTGATGGTCTGGCAGGCTGATCAGCATTCTGCCCCTGCAAGGGTGACCCCAGTGACTGTGCCTCTCTATTTGCATACCTCCCCTTAGCTCCCTTGGAGCTCACAGGCCTTATCTCCTTCTCACTCCTGGACATGCCAGCTGCCTCTGGTGATCTGGCTCCTACCTAGCCCTGCAACATCGCTTTCCACTTCTCCCACCTTCTTGCTGTCTGAACTATGCTAGTTCCTGCCTCCACACCTTTCTTTGCATTTGTCTTTCCCTCTGCCTGGAATTCTCTTCCCACAACCCTTTGCTTCTTTCATTCTCATCTCCTTTAAGTCTTTGCTTAAATGTCACCTCCTCAAAGAATTCTTCCCTGATTGCCCAAGATACACACCAGTCTCTCATACATTATCTTACATTCAAAAAATATTCATTCATTCATTCATTTCTTTGAATGGTATAGTTACAGAGAGGTCTTTCATTTGGTTCACTCCCTTAAATGGTCACAATGGTCCAGGCTGGGTCAGGCTGAAGCCAGAAACTTCAACTGGGTCTCCCACATGGGTGGCAGGGGCCCAGGTACTTGGATCATCATCTGCTGCCTTCCTAGGCACATTAGCAGGGACCTGGCTCAGAAGCAGAGCAGCTGAGACTTGAGCCAACACTCATATTGTTACACCACAATAGCAGTCCCTGCTTTATGTTTTAACAGCATTCTTTACCACCTGACATTATAAGTTGCCTTGATAGCTTCAGGGAGGCCTAAGGTCTTGGACCACCAGGGGAGTGAGATTCCTCAGGAATGGGCTCAGAAAAAACAAACTCAACCCCACACTGTCCTGTAGCCAGTTTGTTCCTGATAGACAGGTAGACATTAGTGGCAGCCTCCAGCACAGCAGGGAGGATCCTGGGGCATAGAAAATGCTTATGAGAGTGGCAAAAGGACCACCTCCTGCCACCTTCCAGTCCAGTCCATTTACATGAGGATCATTTAGCTGCTGGGGTCTCCCAGGGCCAGGAGCCTAGGAAATGGCTGTTGTGACCTGAGTCCCACATGTTCCAGGTTAGTTGCACCTTTATATGAAGGAGAGAACCCAGTTTATTTGCCTGTGGCTTTTGCTATTTTCCATTAATCCTAACTCTGTGCCAGTGGCGCAACCAAATAAAATATCCCTGTCTTGTTCACCTCTATGTTCTAGGTGAATACACAGTGTCTGGCACAGAGTAGGCACTCAATAAATGTCTATGACATAAAAGAGGAGAGGAAATCCTCTAACACTTAGAGGAAAGAAAATTACAAGCTAAATAGGGAGAGAATGGGGGTAGCCGTCCCCTTCAAGGGGAACAAATCAAGAGGTGCCCCTAACCTTGTGACAGCAGCTTATGACTCAGACTAGTCTCTCATCCGGACATGGTTCCCAGCCTTGGAGGTTCAAGGGGGCACATTAGGGCATTGCCTGCAGTGCCCTGGCTACAATTCCTCCTGGATGATGAACTCTCCCAAAAGTTATGAAATAAGATGACATGGGCCTTATGATCATAAACCTCTCTTCTAGACTTATTCCCAACCTCCTGACCCTGGCCACCAGGACTTGCTGCTGGTCTGCAGCCCTGAACTTGCTCCACTGCCTCTAAGCTCTGACTTCCATCTTCCACTATGGCTCAGCTCTATTTCCCAGTCCAGCTTTGCCCCTGGGCCTTATGTCCAGCCACATTTCTGGGTTCTCCCTTGTCCCCCACTCATGGGACCTGAAAATGTGCCTTCCAAGACATTTGTGCCACACAACTAAATGAAACAAGCAGATAAAACATAGAGAGGATCAAACAAGATGCCCATCTGAACATTCTCTGGAGAAAATGAGGAGGGATTCCCACGAAGGCAGGTGATGATGCTGGAGCAGGCTGACCATGGGGAAATTATCAGGTTAAAAAAGACCTCTCAGAAACAACGAAGGTAAGGAAGTTCAAGTCCAAAAGCCTTAAGCTGCAACCTTTCAATCAATAAAGGAAGCAGGAAAGGCTTCTATTTGCTACAAGTTAGATTGTTTTTAAAAGACCCCATTTAAAACCACACTCCATTAAAGAGGGTTTGTGTAGGTGGATTACTATGGGAAAATATTGCATTTCACTACACCTTCAAGGAAGGATAATGAAGCAAATAAAACGATCAACCTGACCTCACATTAAGAGGTTGGCAGAAGAGAGCTCTCTAAACCCCAGTGAATTTAAAAATAAAGATGGAGAGATGCAAAATGTCTTAAAGCAAACAACTAGACTTTGCAAGTCCTAGCACCCTCCCACCTCGGGATTCCTCAGTGCCTGAGAGCATCAAGTGTAGTTATCCCTGTTAACTGCCTGGGGGAAGGACATGCTTGACATTGGAGTCACTTGCTTCTGTTCCATGGTGGTCCAGAATCATTGGACCTACTCCAGAAAGGGCTAATGTGTCCTGGTACACCACACACACACACACACTGCAACAAGCCAGTGATACATTCAAGGGAAAGGACAGTATTAAACTTTCAAGAAGGGAGATAGATAGTGTCCAACTATAAAAAGCATGTTCACTGGGCCTGTGGCTTACTAATACGAATCACCGAATCACCGAGGGTGATGCTCCACGAACGTGTGCATCGGTGCACACCAGCAGATGCTTGGTGAGAAAGCACGCCTTCCTCAGAGCTACAGGGCTTTCCAGAAGTCACTGAGAACCACTGCCCCGTCCTTGCTGAGGACATCATAGAGGGACACAGCAGGGCAGAGGTACTTTAGGGCTCTCCGTCAGCTGGTAGCATGTATGCTGCAATGTTTGGGGGCAAAAATCTGACCTCCAAGCAATTGAGTCCACAAGAAAATCTGCTTGCATTAACCAGTTGCGTGCTGGAAAGACGTGCCTCTGCCTCGTAGAAATTATTTCACTGACAGATGTCTGATCTCCACTGAAAGGATTACTGAGCAAATAGCAGATTTGCCTCAAACAGCAGCTTAATGAGTCATCACTGATGTCAGGCAATGCAGTAACTGAAAACATTTGGGGAAATGTAGTTGGAGGGGGGCCGACTGCGAGCTCTGATGTGGTAGCATCCTGACGGGGAGATGCACTGGAATCCACGTGACCAGAGTTTTCGTACATGTGATTATTGTCAAGGACCATCGAATGTCAAGGCTTGTTAGCTGCAAATCACAACATTGATTCCAGAGTTGAAAACAGTTCTTCCATCAGAAAAAGAAGACTTAATGTTCTTAATATCTTTACTTGGTAGCCATGTAAAGTTAAAAAAAAAAAATGTGAAGCCCTCAAGGTTGAAAGAGACTACAGAAGTGATTTACTCTAAGTAATCCAGAACTCAACTTCCACAACCCCTTAAGAAACTCAGTAAGAGATTGAAGAGCTACCCTGTTTAAACACCAGCAAAAAGACCTATTAAACACATCCCAAACCCTCCACAAGAAGTAAATGCAACTACATGCAAATGTCCAATATACACATGCCCACACACTTCATACACATAGACACATATTTAGAATCTTCTGATTGTCCATCTACATCAACATTATTGCTTGTTAGAATGATCTGGGGTGTTTTCCAATCTTGATTTTTAGTCCACATTCCAGACCAGTTAAGTCAGAAGTTCTAGGGGTGGGACTGAGTATCAGTACCTGTTAAAATTCCCACGAGTTTACTTCCCTGAGGGAGTGGCATGTTTGGCACCATCTTGAGTTTTAGTGGTACTAACTGGCAAAGAACAGGAGGGTTCCTTCACCTTTTCTAAAAAGAGGAGCAGTGTGTGCAAAGATCCTCTGGCAAGGAGGAGACTAACACATTAAAGGAAATGGGAGGGGAAATAGTGTGGGAAGTACATAAAAAGCAATTATCAGGATGGGCACTTGACACAGTAGTTAAAACACTACTTAGCAGGGCCGGCTATGGTACAGCAGGTTAAAGCCCCAGCCTGCAGCATATGGGTGCCTGTTCGAGTCCCAGCTGTTCCTCTTCCAATCCAGCTCTCTTTGATGGCCTAGGAAAGCAGTAGAAGATGACCAAACTCCTTGGCTCCCTGCACCTTTGTGGGAGACCTGAAGGAAGCTCCTGGCTCCTGGCTTCGGATCAGCTCACCTCTGGCCATTGTGGTCATTTGGGGAATGAGCCAGCGGAATGGAAGACTTCTCTCTCTCTCTTTCTCTCTCTCTCTCTCTCTCTCTCTCTCTCTCTCTCTCTCTCTCTCCTGACTCTACCTCTCTCTGTATAACTCTTTCAAATAAATAAAATAATTCTTTAAAAAAAAACACCACTTAGGACACCTGCATCCTAAATCATTGTGCCTCAATTCAAATTCCAGCTTCACTCCTAATTCTAGCTTCCTGCTAATATACACTCTGGGAAGTAAAATTTGATAGTTCAAATACTTGTGTCTGCCACACACATGGGAGACTTGGACTAAGTCCCTGCTTTAGCCCAGCTCCAGTTGTTATGGGCATTTGAGAAGTGAACCAGTGGATGGACAATCTCTGTCTAACCTTTTCTCTGTCTCTGTTTCCCTGCCTTTCAAATAATTTTTCTTAAAAAGCAGTCGCCAAGAGTGGCCTAGAATAACACTGGGAATTTGGAAGTGTCCAGATTACCATGGCTGTATAACCCACTATATTCGTCAAGGTCTAAGAAGGACGGAAGAAATCACTCAGGATATTTAAAACAAACAAAAAGAATGCAAGGCGGTAGATTTACAGATGAAGAAAAAAGAGGAGGAAGAGGAAAATGGAGAAATCTAGAAATCAGCAGCAAGCCACTCTCAGGCCAGGCCTTGGGGGACAAGACAAAGTGCTTCTCCAGCCCAAGGGCTAGACTCACCTGATGGAAGGAAGCTCAAATCTTTATGAATCTACATAACAAACCCACTCTTACAGTAACTTCCTGTTTCCCCGAAACACAAGGCACTTACCATTAAATGAAGACCCTTCTACCTCTTCCCAACGAGGGGAGAGCAAAGTCTCATCAGGCTTCATACAAATCTCAATCCTCCAGGCAAAATGAAGTCCTCCTCTTTAGGTTCAGAGGCAGCTCCTGTGGAGAGTAAGGAGATCATGGAATGTATGGAAAGAAGGAAATTATAATTCAGCCATGACATGAGATTAGCTAACACCTCCACTAATCAGAGTTCTTTTTTTGATGCTGGCAGAATCACAGTGGACAGAGAAGAGAAGCTCTTGCTCAGAACAGGTACCTACTTCACTGAGGACAAACTGCTGTGCCCTCTAAGAAGGCAAGGATCTGTATTCATTTCGTAGGGTTGCCATAAGTACCATAGCCTGGGCGGCATTCACAGTGACACTTTTATTTTCTTACAGAAATGGAGGCTGGAAGTACACGATCAAGGTACCAACAGTATTGTTTTTTATTGAGACCTCTGTCCTTGGCTTGTAGGTGACCCTATATGTTCAGATGGTATTCCATGTCCAAATCACCTCTTTATATAAGGACATAAATCATACTGGATTAGGACTCATTCCAATGACCTCATATTAACTTAAGTACCTCTATCTCTAAATAGAGTCACATTCTGTGATACTTGGAGTTAGCATTTTAACATAATGAATTTTTTTTTGGGGGGGGGACACAACTCAGCCCATAACAAGCACCAGTGTAATTAACTTGCCTCCAGGTGTCTGGCTAATGTCCCCCTCCCAGGAATGAGGCCTTATCCAGGCTCAGCTCTGACCATGGCTGCTGGCAATTTGGGCACTTAACAGTGATAGACAGTTGGGTCAGCCTTGTGGTGGGAAAGTTCACACTGCTAATCCCAGTAAGGTACATTGCCAAAGCTCCTATCTACTGGGAAGACATCCTTCCCCACCATAATTCATGGACACCCCTGTGTGTTACAGCAGTGCACTCTGGCTGGACCAGCATAATAAGTAGCCCCATCTGTAGGAGTAATTGTACGGGAGCCTGGGCTACTTGCTTGTGCCTTCCAGACATACTTGAACCCAACCTCCTATATACAACTTTCCACTCAATAATTAATTGTGCTGCAAATATTATGGTTTTATGTATCAGATAGTGCCTAGTTTATTATGAACAGCCTAGGTCACATGGTCACCTGCTATGTCATGGCAAAGTGTTCAAGTCTCTACTGAAGCCCAGTAGCATAGAAGAAGCTATTTTTCAAAAGGAGGATCAGCAGAAGACCCGGATTTCCTCCAAAATCCCAGAACAGTCAAAGGTTCCATCAAAAAGTGTCCACAGACATTGTGAGCAACATTGAATCTTCTTGATTGTAAGGGCCAAGTGGAAGGTTGACTTGCACCATAGCCAGGACCTGATACAGACCTTTTCCCCCATTTTGGCTCCTCTCTAAACTAATACTCTTTAGGTAAACTGGTAAAGGGCTGGAGCAGCATACCCATCTGTAGTACTTGTGGACTCTAGAACCCAAAGATGCCCTGGAATGGCATAGCCATATTATCCTAAAAGCAACGGCAACAAACAACTGGCATGATTTGATTTACAATTTTTTAAGGATTTCTCTGGCTGCAGTATGGGTAAGCAATAGGAGGGGACCAGAATAAACGTAAGGAGTCAAGGTCAGAAGCACTACAGTAGGCCAGGCAAGAAATGATGGAAACTATGGAATGGTGCATAGGAGATGGGCAGAGTAGACAGATGCCAGAGCCATGAGGATGAAAGAGTGACAGGCCTCAGTGATGCATTGCAGCTAGAAGGGTGGGAGAGAGGGGCACTGTCCCAAGTCCTGGCTTCTGCCCTGGGAGATGGTAGTGCCATTTATAAAGGTAAGAAATTCTAGAGCACCAGAGAAAACAGACCAACCTGGACCTGCATCACAGTTCTATCAAATACCAGATTGCACATGAGAAACTTCTAGATAAGCTCCAGTTGTTAACATCCCCTTGAAGTATACACTTCACATCCTTAGATCACTGCTTGACACATGGGAAATGCTCATGGTATCAGTATCACTACTACTTCTCTTCCTGCTGCTCTGCAAATGCATAGTTATCAAGGGTATCCACTTCCAAACTAGCCATGAAAGGTTGTATGATGGAAATGATCCAGGATACTTTCAGAGGAAACACAGCTATGATCAAATATAAATCCCAAGTAAGGGAGTGGTAAGAGCAAAAAGGAAGAATGGTGAAGCAGGTTAGTAAATTTTTGATGCTGAGGTCGTATGTGAAGAGCTTTGAATGCAATTATAAATGCTACATATAAAGTAGACTATATTACTCAATAAGAATGTGTGTCCTTTGGGAGCACATTTCACAATGACTAATGGAAAAATATGACTCTGGCCTGACATCCCCAACACTGACCTCTCAGAATTACTGACCAGAAGCCCTGGTGAGTAACAGGCCAGGCAGCAAGATGACTGTGTCACCAAGCACTGCCCATTGCAGAGCAGAGACTTCCACAAGCTTCGAAAGCAGTTACCTGCCAGTGAATGGAGTAGCCCAGAGTGGTGATAATGACCACATAGCAAGGGAAGGACATCAAGATGGACATCTGGCTCCCTTTTATTTCAACTTTAATGAAAAACACAACCTCCAGTTCCTGTGACCCTGAGAGGATTAACCGCTGAGACTGAACTGAAACCCTCCATTCATCACTGAGCCAATGTGATTCCAGGAGAGACACAGCAGGCTTACCCAGTCTGTCTTCTACCTGCCTTCTGCTGTCACCTCCTCATGTCAAATCACAGAAGAATCAGGGCAATCATTTCAGTGCCTCAGAACCCACAGGACAGTGCGTGTGTTAGAGGATTAAGGATTCAGGTTCACTAGGTTCAGAGGGTCTAGATTTGAGCAAGTTAACTTGCTCTCCCCATGATGGTTTAGATTTTATTTATTTATTATTAGTTATTCATTTAAGAGAAAGGGAGAGAGAGAGAGAAAGAAAGAAAGAGAGAGAGTGAGAGAGAGAGAGATGTATTACCATCCACTGGTTCACTTCCCAGATATCTGCAAAATGTGGTAGTGAACCAGTTCAAAGCCAGGAGGCTGAAACTCAATTCAGCTCACCCAGGTGGGTGGCAGTAACCCAGTTGTTTAAGCCATCACTGCTGCCTCCCAAAGCCTGCAATAGCAGGAAGCTGGATTCAGGGGTACAGTCAGGACTGAAACCCAGGCACTCTGCCCCAACTTTGCTTATCTTGATGGATCAACCAAGATGGTGCCAAAGATATACTCTGACTTAGCAACACTGTTCCCACCTCTTCACCATCACAATGTCTGACACATGGAGGAGCTGATTGAATTAGTGTTGATGCAGTAGTAAAAAGAGAAGCTAGAGGGGTGGGTGTTGTGTCATGGTAGGTGGAGCCACTATTTGCATTACTGCACCTATATCAAAAGGCTGGTTCAAATCCTTCTGCTTCCAATCCAAGCTTCCTGTTAATGCATCCTGGGAGGCAGTGAATGATGGCTCAGTTGCTGGGGTCTCTGCCACCTACCTGAAAGAGCTGGATATAGTTCTGGCCTCCCGGCTCCATCCTGCCCTAGCCCTAGCCGTTGCAGGCATTTGAGGGAATGAACCAGCAGATGGGAGATCTGTGTGTGTGTGTGTGTGTGTGTGTGTGTGTGGTGGTGGGGGGGGGGTCTATCATTTACTGTAACTCTGCCTTTCAAATAAATAAATCTTTTTAAAAATAGAGAGAAGCTAGAAATAGTATTATCATTTTCAAGTCACCAACCTACATTTGAGGCTTTTATTTATTCATATTTATTGAGAATCTAATATGATCCAGACCTGGTTTAGCACTAGGCTAGGGGGTGAGGTATGTCTAGAGTAACAATTTTTAAAATTACTTTAGTCATATCCAAGAAAATATCAGAATCTGTATTTAGTATGTTTAAAAAAAAAGTCCCTGTCCAATCTCAAGAAAGCTATATATATATGTGTGTGTGTGTGTGTGTGTGTGTGTGTGTATTTCTACATGGAACAGGAAGTGTTAAACTACCAAAACTGCATCAAACAGGGAAGTTACATCTCTTTGCCTCTGGTATTTACTGAGCCCTTATCTCTCATTGGTAAGGTAACTAGTTTTTTAGGGGATACATCAAGACCTAGCCATATCACACACATATCCATAAGGTCCTAATATAATATGTAATACATTACACATATAGTTACTAAATTAACACCAAATATTAAAATTAGCATTTAAATTTATATACTGTTATATATGGCTTGCTTTTCTTTACTGTTACATAAAAACTATTTTTAAAAGACTTTTTTTTTTTATTTATTTGAAAGGCAGAGTTACAGAGAGGTAGAAGCAGAGGGAGAGAGAGAGAAGCCTTCCATCCACTGGGTCACTCTCCAAATGGCCACAACAGCTGGAGCTGGGCCAATCCAAAGCCAGGAGCCAGGAGCTTCTTCTGGGTCTTTAAGGGTGCAGGGTCCCAAGGAGTTGGGCTATCTTCTACTGCTTTCCTAGGCCATAGCAGAGAGCAAGATCAGAAATGGAGCAGCTAGAACTTGAACTGGTGCCCATATGGGATGCTGGCACTGAAGGCAGTGGCTTTACCCACTATGCCATAGCATCCGCCCCAAATGGTATTATTTAAATAAAGCAGCAGTGCAACTAGTTCAGAGAGTGAACTAGTAATAATTAATAGTGGGGCTAATTAAAAATATGTGTGAGAAAAATACATAGATTTTTCTTGCGATACAGGGATTTATTTTAACACTTCATTGGATACTCAAATTTTATTAGCTATATTATTATACATCCTTAAGATACAGAAATGTAAATTATTTAAAAAGAGAAAATATAACAGGAATAATTGAACTGATACTATCAATATTTAATAAACAATTACAATGACATGTTTATGTACTGTGATATAAGAAGATATTTTACTCTGTTTCCCTGTCCAATATAATTTCTCTGGACTACCTGCAGCCTTTAGGATATCTTTTTCTTTATGTGCTGATATACTGAATACAGTCAAATTCATTTTTATCTGCAGCTCTGTTCTTATAAAGCCCACAATACACTGATTCCAGGTGTAAGTTCAATGTGGTGACATCAAGCTTAATGTTCT